CTTTGAAATTTAACCAAAGAAAATCCTAGTGACAGCTCTAGGTGTCAAAATGTATTGTTTCAGGGAATGATGATGAGAGAGAAAAACCGAGAGCTGTCAAATTAGGGCTTCTGCCTCCCTGACTAGCTATCTGGCTTTACCACCATTCTCAGGGGCCTCGGATGTGGAGAGCACATGCTTATAAGAAAGGTGTATCTTCTAAACTTCAATGACATTCCTTTCATTCCCTGCTCCTTCTGAATGTAGAAAAGTAAGTCCCAGTATGAATGCTATTACTTCAGATAGATAAACTGCTACACGTTCATGTTGCTCAGCACATAAAAGATTTATGTTTCTTAATTCAGTTTTGGAGATCTCATCACATGGGGATTATCATTTTCATATAAAGTTGAACAAAATATCATTGTAAAATAGTTGGGCAAAATGACGAGTGTCTGGAAGATTTATCTTTTCAGCATTTAGTACCTGTGTGTAATCTATAACATTTTGGCAACTGAAGAGAACAGATGGCATCTTTCTGACTGCATGAGGTAGTGGACAGTGAGCATTAGCAAGCTGGCAGAGACCCACTTGAGATTAATTCATAGGAGTAAAAATAAATGAAATAGTAGCACCCAAATAGCTCATCAGTAAATTTTGCTTCCCCCCACTTTAAGGAAGCTGGACACAATTGTATATTTATATATTTTTTCTTACCTCCCACTAAACACATCTAAAGTGCAGAGGTGGCCAGGCACAGTGGCTCACACCTGTAATCCCAACAGTTTGGGAGGCCGAGGCAGGCAGATCATCTGAGGTCAAGAGTTCTCCTGACCAACATGGAGAAATCCTGTCTCTACTAAAAATACAAAATTAGCCAGGTGTGGTGGCACATGCCTGTAATCCCAGCTACTCAGGAGGCTGAGGCAGGAGAATTGCTTGAATCCAGGAGACAGAGGTTGCCATGAGCCGAGATCGTGCCATTGCACTCCAGCCTGGGCAACAAGAACAAAACTCAGTCTCAAAAAAAAAAAAAAGTGCAGAGGTATATTTTGTCCAATCCACTTGGTTACCTGACTCATGAATAAGAATGTATTGTATGCCTATTGTGTGTACACCACTTTTTAAACAGCTTTATTAAGATATAATTTACATAATACACAAATTCACTCATTTAAAGTGTACCCATTCAATGGCCGTTAATACATTCACATTGTTGGACATCAATCACAACACTTGACTTTACGGTTTTTTTCACTACTCTCCCAAAAAAAACCCTATAGTCCCTCTTCACCCCCATCTCCTCTAGCCCTAGGAATCCTCTAATCTACTCTCTGTCTCTATATGTATACCTATTCTAGACATTTTGTATAAATGGAATCATACAATAGATGATCCTACATGACTGGTTTCTTTCAGCATATTTTTGAGGTCCATTCATCTTGTAGTGGATAGCATGTCTTTTTACCGCTGAATAATATGACATTGTACCACCTTTTGTTTATCCACTCATCAGTTGATGGATATTTTGGTTGTTTACATTTTGGAGTATCATCAATAAAGCAGTTGTGAATTTTCATGTATGTTTTCATTTTTCTTGGATATATGTCTAGGGGTAAAATTGCTGGTTAATATGGTAATTTCATATTTAACCACTTGAAAACCTGCCTGACTGTTTTCCAAACCGGTTTTACCATTTTACATTCCCACCAGCCATATACGAGGATTTCCGTTTCTCCACATCCTCTCTGACAGTTATTTTCTATTTGATTATAACCATGCTACTAGGTATGAAATGGCATCTCATAGTGGTTTTATTTGCATTTCCCTGATGGCTAGTAATGTTGCAAATCTTTTCATCTCCTTATTAGCCATTTGCGTATTCCTTTGGCGAAATGTCTATTCATATCCTATGCCCATTTTTGAATATGCCCAATTTTTAATTTAGTTGTTTTTAAATTTTTATGTTGATATAATGTGGAGTGTTTTACATTATTGACTTGTAGTTTTTCTATATTCTAGACACAAGTTTTTTAATCAAATGTGTTATTTGCAAAACTTTTCTTCCATTCTGGAGCTTGTCTTTTCACCTTCCCAAGTTTAAAGATAAACTTAGTGCTTAGAGATGATATAATTTTTTTCCTGATACCTCCTTGCCTTTCTTGGTAATAGGACTTTATTTTTTTCTTTTAGTAAGCTATTCAGTCTCAGTCTATAAAATTTAGGTAAAGGTAATCCCTTCCTCTAGTTCCGGAATGGACATAAGAAGCAGGCCTGGCCAAACAAAATTCTTGTAGTCCATCAGGGTCTACTCAAGAGAAAAAACACACCAGTAATGTAAACAGAGAAAACTTAATATAAACACATATTAATTAGGTATGAAGTTATTAATCAGATAACTCAATAGCTGAAAAGAGAACTCTAAGGCTTCTGGAGGTAGCGACTGCAGGAAGCAGTTTCTGTTCCTAAGTCAAGACGGGCAAAAGGAAAAGGTTAGAATTCGTAAAAGTTAAAAGCTTGAGAAAGGATCCCTATGGAGCTGAAACCTCTGAGAAAGTAGGCTTTAATCCACGGTGTCTCTCAGCTTAGTGGCAGGGCCAAGTACCCAGACAAATCTCAGAACAGTGGGCTTCAGTCAACTAATGCTGGGGTTTGGTTCTGTGGTGGGAGGGAGGTGGGTTGAAGCAATACAGCAGGTTCTGCAAATGTTGCAAACTTGATCTGAACGCTACTTTGAGGAGAAATTGCTGCTGCTAGAAGGGAAGAAATGATATTCACAAAAGCCACAAGCAGTAAGCAACAGGAGGGAGTGAATCTTTCCTCCCCCACCAACCTTCCATGTCCTGCCCTTTAGAGTCCATTATTGGCAGAACCCAACAAAAAATAGTGTCACTGGAAAATTATACATCGCAGAGTTCCACTTCCAGCATCACAATGTAGAGTATAGAAAAGCGAGTGAGTTTGGAACTGGCACAATCCACCCCTTTGCCTACACTGCATCATACACACCCTTCTATACATATTTAAACTTTCATACAGTTAACAAGCACCTTCCCAAGTAGTTAGGACCACAGACATGCTACCACTCCTGGCAATTTTTCAATTATTTGTGGAGATAGGATCTCTCTGTTGCCCAGGCTGTTCTCAAATTTCTGGGCTCAAGCAATCCTACCACCTTGGCCTACCAAAATATTTGGATTACAGGCATGAGCCACCACACTTGGCCTTCATTTTCATTCATTCAACAAGCATGTATTGACACATCCTACTCTTAGTACAAATTTGTATGCTATACATTCTATATTCTTGTATAGAATATATTTTTATATGGAATATATCCTTATATAGAATATGTATATACACATATGTGTATATATATACATACACATATCTTGAAGATATAAAACTAATTGGGAATAATGTCATATAAAGTTATAGTAAGCAAACATTTTTAAAAACATTTTAAAGTATTCAAACTATTCACTCTATTAAAAACTAGTAATTAAACCTGTCAAATTACAGACATCTTCATTTACCCAGATGCAGAAACATGAAATCTTTTTACCTTTGAAACTCGTTTCAAAGCTGTTCTAACGTGACTTAGTTTTAATTTACATACTTGCAGGGCTATGCAAGCGGCTGTAGGACTATGCAAATGTAAGGAATACACTATCATGCCCATACGTATCTGCAAACACTTATTTTTAAGTGTTCATAAAAGATAGTGGTATTCAGAAACACCATTTTTCAGATTGGTAAACTTCCAGAGTTCAAAAATGCACGTATTACACTTTTATCCCCAACAAAGCTAGTAGCTACCCTCTAAAGCAGAGGTTAACATTTTCTTTTCCCAAACCACAAGATGAATTATGATCGTATGTGCATACTCCCATGGTTCGTCTCCCCAGGTTGTATTAAAAAATAAAGCAAACAATTACGAGGATTTTAGGGGTAGTGGTATAGGGATAGTATTCACACACAAAAAAACTGAAGTACAAGGATATCAGACTTTTGTTAAAATATCTTTAAATTTTACTGGCAAAATATATCAATGACTAATCAGTATTCAGATACTAAACATACTTTTTATTTTTTTGAAACGATGTCTCACTCTGTCACCAGGCTGGAGTGCAGTAGTGTGATCTTGGCTCACTGCAACCTCCACCTCCTGGGTTCAAGCGATTCCCAAGTAACTGGAACTACAGGCATGTGCCACCACACCCAGCTAATTTTCGTATTTTTAGTAGAGATGGGGTTTCACCATGTTGGCCAGGATGGTCTCAATCTCTTGACCTCGTGATCCATCCGACTCAGCTTCCCAAAGTGCTGGGATTACAGGCGTAAGCCACCACACCCAGCCAAAATATTAAACATACTTTCTAATACATTGTAATTTTTAGTACTTTTATAATTACTACTTCATAAAAATAGTGGATTTTACCAGCTCTCCAGTTCAGACACTATTAACAGGCAATCAGATAGCACTGAATAAGGAGAAATAGATTGAGTAATACCTAAAATTACTGTATTTTAGCATACTGAAATTAGTATCATCAGTGTTTTTTATCTGCTTTATCACTTTGTCTACACTTTATTAGGTGGCCCTAACTCTTATTACTATTGACAATGTGAACTTTCCTCACAATATCCACTTCTTTTCCAGTATTTTGGCCTTCCTTATTAAAAATGTTTCTACTGTCAAGAATTTAAGAGAATCATGAAATTCCAATACAAACACTACCTTGGCTTGCCAGATTAAATCGTCTTTGTGGTGTAAAGCTATAATTCCAATTTCAACCAAAGAACCCTCTCTGAATTCATCTGAGAATGACATTTCTATGGGAATAAATTTGAATTGTCTCACATTCAAGAAATATCATTTAACTACTAAGAACTTACTCCTATCTCATCATGATAACCTAATGTTAGACTGAGAATCACTGCTCTAGGGTGGCGCCAGAAGTTGCCAGTCAGGAACTACTGATAAGATTTCACTTTTCCAATAATTGTATACTTCCATCTTGTAGTACAAAAACATTTTTATTTTGACCTGATAAATGACTAAAACAATTGCAGGGGTAACTGACAGGTATGATTATTCATTCTGCAATGGAATTGACCCTCATTGACCCTCAGACTAATTTAGACACTTTTTAATAACATTCACAGTCAATCTTAAAAAGAATATTATTTTTGAATTTTTGCTGAAGTTAAGACTTACATCTAAAAGAAAATAATCATCCTTATTGGACAAATGGAACTCAAAAAAGCAAAAAAAAAAAAAAAACCCATCATAGTAATGAAAATACTGAGTTTCTGACATACAAAGAGTGAAATATTCATATATTAGACAAATGATGCAGTATAAATGGGAAAAACTCCATTCTTTCTAGAAGAATGTCAATAAATAACTGATGTATCAATTATTTGATAGAAACATAAATTCTTCAACCACTAGAAGAACTGAAAGAGGAAGTTTCTTCTGTCAGTGTGAGAGACTGACTCTTTCTTGTCACAAGACTTTTAGAACTACATGACTTTTTTTTAAAAGACTGAATTTCACCATGTTGGTCAGGCTGGTCTTGAACTCCCGACCTCAGGTGATCCGCCTGCCTTGGCATCCAAAGTGCTTGGATTACAGGCGTGAGGAACTACACCCAGCCTACATGACTTTTTTTTAACAATTTGCATATAATGTTTGACGGTGGGAATGGGATCAGAGAGGCAAAAGTATTACCCGGAAAAACAACCTCCCAAAACCATTTAGTAAGTAAAGTGAACACCATCACACCTAAACCCATTCACTGTATGTATGTATGTTATTTTATTTATTCCGAGACAGGGTCTCACTCTGTCACCCAGGCTGGAGTGCAGTGATGCGATCTCGGCTCACGGCAACCTCCGCCTCACAGGTTCAAGCAATTCTCGTGTCTCAGCCTCCCAAGTAGCCGGAAGTACAAGTGTGCACCGTCCGCCCATGCTGGCTAGGCTGGTCACTGTTTTAATTCTACAATTAATTTTAGCTAAAGAATATGGATTCATTTATAAAAACAAATTTGGTCTCTTCCTATAAATACTTCTAGTTTTAAAAAATTCATTTTCACATTTGAATGTCCTTAAAAGTATCTAAAGGATTCATTCTCCTTCTGCACTCTGCTTCTCAGAAAGTACTTTTGAGGTAGATCTGTTCCGAATTCTTTTTCTTTTTCTTTTCTTTTCAGAAGCAGATGATTGTGTATCCGGTGCCTTTTTCTTTTTCTTCAAACAGCTAAGAGGATTGGGACCACTTATTTTCTTGCGCTTTTTTCTTTTTCTCTGTTCAGGGTTTTTTACTAAACCCTGTTCCTCTTTGAGATGTTTGATACTTTCTTTCTCATGCACTGAGACAAGCTGACCTGACTCCTCTGCTTTTACAAAGGCAACTGTTTTGGGAGAAGGTTTGTCCAAAACCATAGTGTTCTGAATAATAAACATCAGAGGAACTCCAGGCTGCTTCTTTACTTTCACAGACAAATTCTGATCCTATTTAAAAGAAAAATAGAATTATTTAGTTCAAATGTCAATTAAGGTACTTTAAATAGGTTTTTAAGAACTGTATTAAAAATAAAAGCGATCACAGATTTTATTTTTCAAATGAGTAAGCCTCACTTATTCATTTGAGTAATGGGGTTATATTTTATGATAAAGGAAGAAAAACAAAAATTGAGCATAGTGTTAGTAGCAGCTGTGTGAATTGGATTTATCGATACTCTAGGGCCACAGATTACAAACTAACGCAAAGGTAAATGTGTTAGGTGGGTGTCTCCTGTTTCTACTCTAAGATAGTCTTTGGAAATGGTTAAGAATGCTTGAAGAGGTTAAAGGAAATTAGGTAGTAATTAGAATTACTAATTAGGTAGTAATTAGAAATTAGGTAGAATTTAGAATACTCAGATTCTAAATTCAGCTCTGCATCTGTATAATTTTATAATTCTGATAATCAAATCAGTATGTATGTGAATTTAACTAATATCAACTCTAAAAGTCTCTCTTCCTGCCTTCAAGAAGATGGTAATGTTTTTCTTTAAAAGCCTGAAACATTTCATACTGTTGGTACAGTCTTAAGCAGTATGAACCATGACACTGAGAAACAGTATGAAATATAGGAACCTAAAAAAACATTAACAGAATATAAGAACTTTGCTTTACTTGTCTTTCCTTCAAGAACCCTGCAACAGCCGGGCACAGTGACTCAGGCCTGTAATCCCAGCATTTTGGGAGGCCAAGGTAGGTGGATCACGAGGTCAGGAATTCAAAACCAGCCTGGCTAAGATAGTGAAACCCCATCTCTACTAAAAATACAAAAATTAGCCAGGCGTGGCGGCAGACACCTGTAACCCCAGCTACTCAGGAGGCTGAGGCAGAGAACTGATTGAACCCGGGAGGTAGAGGTTGCAGTGAGCTGAGATTGCACTACTGCACAACAGCCTGGGCGACAGAGCAAGGCAACATAGTGAGACCCTCGTCTCAAGTCTCAAGAAACAAACAAACAAAGCAAAACAAAATAATCATGAAAAAAAAAAAACCCAACCTTCCACTACTAAAAAGCATATCAGCATGCTTAAAGTTTTCCTCAATTTCTTATATGACAATTGCTTTTACTCACTGTAAATTAACTTAGAAGCCTGTATTTTTAAAAGTCTAATCATTCTAATTTTTCTGATTAGAAATAGCTCCAAATGAAGTACAAACAGAAATGGTTAAAATTGCCTGTGGTTTTAAAGGTAGTAATCACCTGTGTTGCCACAAAATAATGATGAGGATTTCCCTCTTCAACCATGGAAAGCAGACATTCTGATCCACTCACTGCATTCTTGAAATGGGGACAATTTCGAACTTGGCATTTTTGTGCAATCAGTCTTGCCCCATATAAGTCCTTTCCCAATGTTTCTAACTCTTTTAACACACATCTGAAAAGAAAATTATAGTAGATACATTTTGGTTGTTGTTTACATAAAGTGTAAAAAACAATAATCAATTTTTTCCTTAAAATAAAACTATGCTGTTGCAATCTGAATTTGTCATCTGGTAACCCTTTACTTTAAAGATGACTTGAAAAATGCATTTACCAAATAGAAGGAACAACAGTTAAAAATTACTGAGCACTTACTATGTTCCATGTAGCATGCAAATTGCTCTTTACATAAATTCTTGCTTAATCTCAAAATAACCCTATGAAGTTAGGTCGCTTACCTAGAAATTATCCTTATTTTAGAGCGTCCCATTTTGAGATTTCAGGTAACATGCCATAGGTCAAGTAACTAGTAAGTGGTATTAAGACTTGTAGCTTGACAACAGATCCCTTGCCCCAACCATAGCATAAGCTTCTGCTTCAAGTACAAACTGGTACATATTCAAAATATTTTCAATTCAGAATAGTAAAACTTCTCACATCGTCAAGTTTTTTTTTTTTTTTTTTTTTTGAGTCGGAGTTTCGCTCTTGTTACCCAGGCTGGAGTACAATGGCGCGATCTTGGCTCACCGCAACCTCCCCTCCTGGGTTCAGGCAATTCTCCTGCCTCAGCCTCCTGAGTAGCTGGGATTACAGGCATACGCCACCATGCCCAGCTAATTTTTTGTATTTTTAGTAAAGACAGGGTTTCACCAGGTTGACCAGGATGGTCTCGATCTCTTGACTTCATGATCCACCTGCTTCGGCCTCCCAAAGTGCTGGGATTACAGGCGTGAGCCACCGCTCCCGGCCATCAAGTTGTTTTTTAAAAAAAAATTTAGTCATAAGAGTTCCTCTACCCTAGCCAGCCTTTGCCAGATACTTTCTTGCCTCATCTCCTTTACCATCTTTCTGTTTTAGGAAGATTTTGCTTTTTTTAGTCATTAAACTTGACCTCTGTTTTGAGTACTGCCAGCTACTTACTGAATATTTCCTGTGGATGTCCTGCCACCGACTCTTCAAATTCACCCTAAGGTGAAACTACTTTCTTGCATCTAAATACATCCTCCAGAACTTGCTATCTCTTTGAAATTATTCTCCCAGTCGCCCTAGATAGAAATCAGAAATCATATTTGACTTCCTGCCCTTCTTCACCCATAGGCCTATGCCATCAGCTGTTGGACCTATCTATTTCAGTAACGTTTCTTTGGAAAACCCTTGGGCTTCTGCCTTTCCTCTCCCAGGTTTAGGCTCCCCTTACTTCTTGATGGAACAACTGCATAACAGGTTTGGCTGCCTTTGCTCTCGTTTAACCAATACACCCTTCACATCACTGAAGTTATCTTTTCTAAAATAAAAACCAGGCCTGATAACATTCTGCTGTTCTACTTCATCAATTAACTCCACATATAAGTTCAAACCTGAATATGAGTAAACTCTGGAGATCTAACTACTAGTGGCCAATAAATACATTCCACTAAAAAATGAATTACCTGCTTTCTTAAAAACATAAGTAGCAAATTTTAAAGGGAGGGGAAACTGTTAAAATTTTTAATAATCCCAGCACTTTCGGGGGGGCTAAGGTGGGTGGATCGCCTGAGGTTGGGAGTTCAAGACCAGCCTGGCCAACATGGTGAAACCTGTCTCTACTAAAAAATACAAATATTAGCAGGGCGTGGTGTCACATATCTGTAATCCCAACTACTTGGGAGGCTGAGGCAGGAGAATCACTTGAACCCCTGAGGCAGAGGTTGCAGTGATCTGAGATCGTGCCACTGCATTCCAGCCTGGGCAATAAAGTGGAAAAAAAATTTTTTTAAACTTCAGAGACATGTAAATCAAATGTAATATATGTATTTAGTTTGAATTCTGATTTTTAAAAGACTTCATCTTTTTAAGATACATGCCAAAGAACTGATAGAATAATGTGCTCCAAAGTAACCCATCAGTAAGGAGAGGTGAGAGATTCAACAAGATTGGCCACCTTGATAACTGCAAAAGCTGGATAGAGGTTTAATTTTATTATTCCACTTTTGAGTTGTCTGAAAAATTCCAGAGTTAAAATAAGTTTGTTAGAGAAATTGCTGTAGAATATAATTTTATGTGGCACTTCTCAGACTTTTTAATATGATAACACTATATTGAAAATGTACATAAAATACTCTTGTATTCTATGGCACATAGGAATATATGGACAAACTGCTTATAGCCAAAAGCAACCAAAATTCAGTCAACCAACATTCAAAGAATATTGAAGGATTTGTTAGACAGCCCTAAAGACAAAGGGGATCAAAACTGGGGGTATCTGTAACCCAGCTGAAACACTGCTTGAGAAATTCTGAACAAATACGGAAAGCTGTTCATTAAATAGTGTTAGGTGAGAAAAGGAAACCATTAACACAGTACACACAGAAAAAGCCCAAACTTTACTACAGTTGTTGTTAGAGATGCGGGTTTTCCTGTGTTGCTCAGGCTCACCTCAAACTCCTAGATTTAGGCGACCCTCCTGTCTGAGCCTCCTGAGTACCGGGATTACAAGTGTGAGCCACCTTGTTTGGCTTAAAAGTCCGTTTCTGTGCTTGCGTGTGAGTGTGTATAAAGGACTGAATGGATGACACTGCACATGTTAACAGTGATTATTCGTGAGTAGTAGTATGAGACATTTTAATTTTCCTTTTTTGTTTTTTAAAAGTACACATTCTACAATGAAAATACTAAACTTCTTAATAGTTCTTCATGGTCTAACCTCAACTTGCCTTCTTCCTAGTTTCATTTCCAAATATATTCTGTGCTGCAGCCTCTTTCCTAGGCATTTCATAATTCCATTCCGTTTTGAAGAGGTCTCCACAACAAGGGGTGTCATTCTTTTCTGTCATTCAGAATAGATCTTCCCCTCAGAATTAAACAAGTGAATGGGCTCAAGTAATTCTCTCCTCCCACCTCGCCATCTCCACAAGCTTCCATCCTAAGTGTTCCCACATTTCAATGACGTGGGGAAACATCAGACCTAGAGTGAAAACACATTCACTGCAGACCGACTTGTGCATTTTGCTGGCCATGAGGGAGCCGTGTTTGGCATATAGGGGGTACTTAACACAGTGAGTTGAATAAACAAATATCCTTGAACAGATTCCTTATTCTGGAGTACTGACTTTTTGCCCTGGAAATCAAAGATGATAACTCATAGATTCACTGTGAGGCTAGAAGAGTTTTGGTTTAAACTAAGAAAAGCTATGCAAATGACAGCAACCATTTGAAGAAGGGTACGCTTTGGATACCGAAAAATGCTCTAGTACACTATACTCGTTTACCTTACAGCAATCTTATAAGCAGTTATGATCTCTGGTTTATAAATGAGGAATCCGAGGCTCAGAGAGGTTAAATAACTTGACCGAAATCACAGAGCTGGTAGGAATGGGATTAAGATTCGAAGCCAGATCTCTCTGCTAGAATGTGCTCTCATTCGCCAGGCTAACGACACGTGATATTCGCAGCGCATTGTCCAAGCTGCCTCTAATATAGGTATTTGCCTGACCACCTTCACTTTTCCACTTAACTGTCAACTCCACGTGGGCGGGGCGTTTTGCACCTCCTGAGCTCCCAGTGAAGGATCTGCGAGCCGTGGCCTCGCCTCTACAACACCCACCAGACTCCACCTGCCTCCTCCCCGGCCCCGCCGGACCCACCTGGTGGTGCACAGCTGCGTCTCCCCCATGAGGTAGCGCGGCAGCTGCTCCCGCAGCTGGATACGGCCCCGCAGCGCCGCCTGACAGAAGGTGCCATCCAGCAAGATCTGGTATGGCTCGCGGACTCCGAAATTGTTGCGGAAGAAGCCAAGATGCTTCTTAGCGTGTTTCTGCCTCGTGATCTTCATGCCTGGCTTACCCGGACCGAAGCCACTGGACCAGGAAGCATCAGCAAACACCTCACGCACTCCCAACTCAGTGCCAGCTTCACCCGGAAATGAAGTGCCTTTGCTCCCGGAAGCAAACGCCTCTGACTTCCGGGCCCGCTCACTAGTTACGTCTTGACGAGACGTGCGCGAACTTCCACCAAGGTGCCCGTGCTTAAAGGGGCGGTCCCTTAGGGCGGAACAAACGCTGGCGTGCGCGGTTCCGCTTGGGGGCGCACATGCGCAGTCTGGGCCAGGGTAAAAGAAAATTACAGAATATGTTTAGCATGTTAACTACATTTCAGAGCTTCTCTGAAAGACTGGCAGTATAGTAGTAATCAGTGATAATATTGAACCTTAATATGTTCCAGACACTGTCCTAAGTGATTTACCTTACATTATTCCCTTTAATGTTTATAATTCCCAAGTGAAAGAACGAAATGATACATTGGATAGCTATGAGTGGGGAGGTTTGTACTGGCTGCTTTCCCATAAAGTTAAGCATGTTCACTAAAGGCACATAGTTTGTTACTGTCTGGAACCCACTTTTCGTGCCTTAAGTTCAAATATTCTTGCTACACCACTATAGAAACAAACATAACTCAGGAGCCATGTGTCAGGGCAAAGGGTGCCACCATTTTGCATTTCCTCCTGCCCTAAGACTATCCTAAATCATTCGCACAGAATGTTTTGGAAGAACTCTCAAGAGCTTCGTTTGCCGAGAGTCAGAATTCCTAACCTTGAGTCCTGGTTCTGCCACAAACCCAAGCCATTTGATCTTGGGCAACTACCCAAGAAAGCTGGGTTCAACTTCCTCACTGTCAAACTGATTACAGGTCTAGATGAGTTTAAAGGACTCTTTATGTCCATAATCTCTGACAAAGGAAGACCACATACTGGGCCAGTAACAGAAAGGCACAAAGCTGACTGAAGGTTTAGAAATTACTTGGTCAATTTGATTAATGAGGAGAATGAATCAGAAAATTTCAAGTTCCCCAGTGGCTAACTGTCAAGTATCCACTTAAAGGCAAAATAATCAAAGAATGGGGAGTATGGAATTTTGCATTTTTGTTTTGGCCTGGAATCTGTCCCAGATCTAGTTTTGGCTAAAGATTGAAAGAACCAGTACAGAAAATGATTTACAACGTGATTGAATGCATTGTTTGCATTTGGGGTTTATTTCAATATATAGGTTTATGAAATTGGAACTAAGAACTATAATGTTCACCATGACCTGAGTCCCAGCACATCACTTAGATGGCTGCTTTCATTTAAACTTAAAATAAATTTAGGAATTGGAAGCCATGAAAACTTTTATAGGGCTGGATTCATGGTCTTTTAGTGTAATTGCTCAGTATTTTTCAATTTGAATCCTCTTTTTTTCCCTGTATGCCAACTCACTACTCCAACTATGCTCCCACCACAGGCGGAGGAATGATACCACCGAGTCTTGCAAAACAGTTAAAACATTTTTTTCTTAAACAGCCTGACAGATTTATCTACCAGCTCCTTGGCCACTTTTCAGTACTAAGAAAAATGTGGTACAGCACTAGTCCTTTGTTTTTTGTTTTTTGTTTTTAATTTACGAAACTACGGTACAATTTTTTTTTTCAAGCTCTCTATATATGACAGTGCCAGTTTGCACCCTATCTTTATTATGAAAACATGAAGATGGTTTATAATGGTGATTATCAAGTTTAAAACAGAGTTTTCGGCTGGGCGTGGTGGCTCATGCCTGTAATCCCAGCAATTTGGGAGCCCAAGGCAGGAGGATCACTTGAGCCCAGGAGTTTCAGACTGGCCTGGGCAATATAGGGAGATCCCATCTCTATGAAATTAAAAAAAAGAAAGAAAAAATAATAAAGTTTTCTATTACAGCAGTGTTTCTTAAAACATGGTCCTAGGGTATGCAGAAAAAAACAGTGTGCTTGTTTAAAATGCCCATTTCTGATTCAGAATAAGTAATAAGGCAGAGGGGTACTATTCAGAGAAGAAGTGACATTTATTGCAATCACCACAAGTCATTATTATGCTCATTAGTGTTCCCGAAGGACCTTTTTTGCAATAAAGCATCGTTTATCCAATAGGATATTTTTATTAATTGGCCCACTCAATACACTTTTGTCTAGATGCCAAATTATCTGTAATGGAAAATAATATCTAGCCACAACCAAGGAGAAGGCACATATTGTCATTATTGAAAGAACAATTTGGATACAAATTTAAATCTGAAATTTTATTTTGAAAATTATGTCATTATTAAAACATTTAATAGTCATTGAAAATTTTTTGACCTTATACTGAAGGAACAACAATTCATAATAGCATTGCTAGTTTTTAGCTTTTTTCTCAGGTCAGTCCACTGGACATTTTCCATTCCAAATAGAAATCCACATTCAGTTGGAGTAAGTAGGTGATTAATTTATTTTTCTTTATTTTTTATACTCTTCATTTTATTATGTCTGGATCAAATATAGTTTTATAATGTTATGCTGTTGTACATGATTTTGAAGTTTTTTTCCTTCATGAAATTTTGATGAAGCCAAGTTGACAGGAGAATGATTTATTTTTGAAACGTGTGACTAATTCCCAAATAGGACTTTCTCATGAAAGATTCATGGCCTAAATGGAATTAAAGAGGTAAACATTAAATATAATTCATAAAGGTTACTTTGTTAAATTTCACCAATGTTAGTATAATTTTAATTTCATAAATGTTAGACAATTTAGCTAACATCTATTGTGGTATTATTCTGCCTTATATTCATATCTAAATATTTATAAACATTTGTTAACATTCATTAGCTCAAAAAAAATACAATTTCTTCCTAACATTATGTAGCTAACATAGTGTCTAAATAAATAATTTAGCTAAATAAATATTTTAAGACAACTTAGGTAAACCACTTCATATTGAGGTCCTAGGAGGTTCTTTGCTAAGATCCCTAGGATAGGCTCCATCATGGAATGCCTTACTGTGAAATTTCATGTATGTCAGAAGGTGTTACAAAGGTCAGCTCTGGAGGCTGTCACATTTTTTAGAATAATCTTTAAAATAAAACAAAAAAAATCGTTATTTCAAATTACAAAAGTAACACGTCTCTTATAATAAGTAGAACAATACAAAGAACATTTTTTCTTCCCTTACCCAGATAACACCTTGATGATCTATTATGTATCTCTCTGCAATGTTTCCATATTCACATACTGATATATCATACGGATATATATACAATTTAATATTTATGTAGAGTTGCCTATTATGTGAAAACTGTAAAAAAGTTTGCTTTTCTCACCTAACAACCCTGTAGAAATTCCTACACACATCTACCCAAAATCAACTCGCAGAGTTCTCATTCATTATTTTTAATGGCTGCATGACATTTCCCAAAAATCACCAAATATAACATAATAGATATGACACAGACTATGAATTTTCACCCAGTATCTCTTCTCTTCTTTGTAAAAATAGACTTCCAATTTTATTCCAGACTATAGTATGCCCAGAAAAGTAAATCCATCCCCCAGAATTCTTTTTACTTTTTCCTTTTTGAGACGGAGTCTCGCTCTGTCGCCCAGGGTAGAGTGCAGTGCCACAATCTCGGCTCACTGCAACTTCTGCCTCCTGGGTTCAAGTGATTCTCCTGCCTCAGCCTTCCAAGAAGCTGGGATTACAAACATGTGCCTAATCCCAGCTAAGTTTTGTATTTTTAAGTAGAGTTGGGGTTTTATCATGCTGGCCAGGCTGCTCAAGCTAGCCTCGAACTCCTGACTTCAAGTGATCCGCCTGCCTTAGCCTCCCAAAGTGCTGGGATTACAAGAATGAGCCATAGCACCTGGCCCATTCCCCAGCATTCTGTGCAGTTAGTCATAACCATAGGACTAAGTCTAGCCAAGGATATGTAAATATAAGTGTTGCATAGAATTCTGGGAAGGCTCCTTAAAGGAAATCAACTTAGCTTGCCAGTGGGTACTTTTTTGTTTTATATTCCCTTCCTTCCTACTCCCTGGAATTTGGATGTGATAGATGCAACTCCAGCAACCTATTTTAGACCATGAGGTAATTTTGAGAATGGAGGTCGTTTGCTTCACACTGGCAAAGCAAATACAGGAGCTTGGATCACTTGCAACTATGAAACTGTCTTTTCAAAGGCAGACTTTCTACTTCTGGACTTCTTTTACATGAGAAGAAAAACAAACTTCTATCTTGGTTTTAAAAAATATTATTATAAGCTTCTTTTATATATAGCCAAACTCAATGCTAACTGTTAGAGGAAGTTAAAACTACTCGCCAGAATTAGATAATTTTATATGGACAGATGCATTTGATGAAATCTTGATGTTGGTTGGTGTTAGTCAATACAATTGCCCTTTCTTTGAACAGGCTCAATATACTAGTTTATACATTTTCTCTAAAAGGTAGAGAGTCTTCAAAGTTAAATAAACCAAATCTTTCTTTACATACTATAGAAACTGTCTTGACATTTGTTTCTCTTGCAAGTATAAACAATTTGATTTGAATTTGGTATGTCAGTGGGATATATCTCCTGTTGAGAAAAATTAGTTAAATATGAAGAGCCCCAGCTGCTTGGGTAAGGAACATCAAGGAAATGTTAGTGTCACCCTGTTGTCAATTAACGAAAGCAAGCAGGATTTCTGTATATTGGTCCTGCCAATACCAGTGAGCTCTTTATTCAGGTTAAATGACAAAGGAGAAGCTGTCTCTTAGATAAAGATTTCAAGAGATTTCTATTTATCAAGGATATTTCTAAACTAAACAGTAAACAGGAAGTGCCCATTATTAGTTATCAGACGACTGTTGTTAGATCACTATAAAATTAGACTAGCAAGTTTGCTTTCTGGAATAATTTATTTGGATGAAATCATACTTAGAACAAATACTGCCATATTAGGTAAATTGAATTTATTATTTCTCTAACAGATTTATGTATGTGTGTATATATATATATATATATATATATATATATATATTTTTTTTTTTTTTTTTTTTTTTTGAGGCAGAGTCTCACTCTGTTACCCAGGCTGGATGGAGTACAGTGATGCAGTGTCAGCTCACTGCAACCTCTGCCACCTGGGTTCAAGTGATTCTCCTGCCTCAGCTTCCTTAGT